TCAATCAATCAATCAATCAACCAATCAATTCATCATGTCGTCGTATCATCCACCGAAACGAGATAGCATGAGGAATCAAATACGAACGCCAGCACTCGTTCAGAATCGCAAACGAATTGTGAAACATCAGGAACCCAAGGCAGTGCCACCCCCACCTTCGATTGACGAGGATACCGTAGATCTGGGTGCCATTGTCATTGACAATGGAACTGGATCCACCAAAGGTATGTTTTTTACTTGTTGAAGATGAATGAAAAGCAAATGAAAGTACTTCTACCATTATATGCTTGTATCGTTTCTCACTTTGCTACCCCATCCTTCATTCAACAGCTGGCTTTGCCGGAGAGGACGATCCTCGATGCGTCTTTCCAACCCTGGTAGCACATCCAACCTCTACCTTTGGTCCCAATTCCAAGGCCCAAGTCGGCAAACAGGCCGAAGCCAAGTGGAGTGTCCTGGACGTGCAACAACCCATCGACCGGGGTATCATCCAAAACTGGGACGATATGGAAACCATTTGGCATCACACCTTTTATCAACTCAAAGCTTCCAGCCAACATCATCCCGTCTTGCTCACCGAAGTTCCACTCAATCCAAAAGCCAATCGCGAACGCATGACGCAAATCATGTTTGAAACCTTCAAGGTACCGGCTTTGTATATAAATAATACTGCCATTTTGGCACTATATGCCAATGGTCGGACCAGTGGATGTGTCTTGGAATCAGGAGAAGGTGTCTCTCATGCGGTTCCCGTCTGTGAAGGTTATGTGATTCCTCATGCCATTCTTCGATTGCCTCTTGGGGGTAAGGACCTGACCCAGTTGCTGCAAAATGCCTTGGCGGAACGAGGACACGCATTGCAGGATCATATAGAAAAAAACTTTTCGGACGAAGGACTCGTGCTCACGTCCACTGCCGTCCAGGTGCAAGTCCGAACCATGAAGGAGACCTTGGGGTATGTGGCTCTCGACTTTGGACAAGAAACGATCAAGGCGGTCGACAAGAGTGCGGCTTTGGAAAAATCCTTTGACCTGAAGGATGGCACCAGCATTCAAATTGGCAACGAACGATTTTACTTTCCCGAACATCTCTTTCAACCAAACGACTTGATGGGACTGGAAGAAGAAGGGGTTGCGGACATGACCTTTCAAGCCATTATGAAATGCGACGAACTTTTGCAGTATGACATGTTTAGCAATATCGTTCTTTCTGGAGGTTCTACCATGTTTCCTGGATTCCGGGAGCGCATGTTGAAGGAACTGACGGCACTGGCGGGTTCCGTTGAAATTACTATCAATGATACTGCGGGTCGAGCCAATGCGCCATGGGTAGGAGGATCGATATTGGCATCGTTGGAACAATTCAATCATTTGTGGATTACCAAACAAGAATATGACGAGACTGGTTCCTCCATTGTCCACACAAAATGTTATTGAAAAAGCATGTTTGTTTGTTTGTCAACCACCACCATTGATTAAGACAACAGACCATCCAACAGCGTATCCAACCAACCAAGTGACTGGAGAATAGATTCATTGTTTCATTCATTGATTCATTTGTTTGAACTGACTGAAGAACCACTTTTGAAGCAGCACCACGACCAGTCGCGATAAGTGTCGATCGTTCTTCAGGACCATTGTGCAATGTCTGCGACAGACAAAATTCAGGAATGAATCGGGAGGGGGGTCACTTCTCGCATGGATCATTCATTGAGTGGCGCCAAAAGTCCTTCTTGGCCAACGCAACCGGACAAAACTAGTCATTACTTTACCCCATCGGGAATGGGCACAAGATATGTTATTTTTTCGCGCTAGAAAGGTTCATGATTGGAAACAGAAATTTTAAAAGTCGAGTTTTGCATGCTTCGACCAGTCTAATTGTTTAAAAAAGTATTTCTCATTTCTTTATAATAGCTAGCAGTCATGTCATCGTGGCGTCTTGATCATGTTCTTTAGTGCGGTTTCCATTTGCTTTCGATTGCTTACCAAACGAAAATTTTCGACCACTGCCTGCGAGAATCGAAAGGTATTGGTAAACTTGCCCATCAGTACCTCTTGGAGGTATAAATCTAAAAGTCGTTCGCGCAAGACTTCCAAAATGGCCGCAAATTCCGAGACGCTTCGCCATTGATTGGCATCCTCACAGTTAAAGTTCTCTTCCAAAAACGAAGCAACTACACCCGATACCAGAGAGTTAACCACAAAGCGAACATATCCTTCCACAAAACCCTGTGGTGGAGGTGTCACGACGACTGGGGCATGATTGGAAGCATCATTATTTTGATTCCCTCCTCCTGTCCAATTGTCCAAAAGATCCTTGAAAAACATAATGCAAGTCTTCTTCATGAGCGGATCCTCTGCGTGGATGGCGCCATCCAGCATGGAATTCAATATGTTTTCAAAGTTTGATGAGTTGGTAGGAGAAAAAAAGATGGCCTCGGCTCGGTAGGCTGCAACGTGTTGCATCGAGGCGTAGGTCAACTTGTGGATGGAAAGCTGCTCCGTGCGAAGATGTGGAGCAACCCCATTCTCTGGTGTTGGAGCGGCGGTCGACATGGTGGAAAGGGTTTGACACTTTTGAAGAAATGGTAGCAAATTGGCATCAAGGACTGGCACTGCATTTGATTTGTATTTGATACACAGCTGATTGAATAATTGGGCCACATCAAGAATGTCTTCGCTTGTGCAGTGGGCTATCACCAAACTCAAAATTCGTGGCATTGAAGGCATTATCTTATCTTCCAAGCAAAGGATCATGCGTTGGACGAAAATGTACATCTTGTTACGGACGTCGTCATTGAATGGCAGAGCTTCCAGGACTGCAATGTTGATCCTAAGAGCTTCGACCAGAACCATTTGAATTCCTTCGGAAGGATACTTGAATCCTTTAGACAGGTAGGCAATTGCCGCGATGGACCCAGCAAGCATTTCACCGTGTGCATCTGGATTCTGAGCAATGGATTGGCCCTGCTCTAAAACTCGTTCAATGGAACGCACGTGTGGCGTCATCACTTGTGTCAGCAATGTCTGTTGCTTGGCTGGGTCCAGTCCAGTTTTGCCAAGCAGCAGACCAATCGATTCGAACAGATTCAGAATATCGTCAATTCGTAATTGACCCGAACTAGTATCCAAGAGTTGTAGGATTCCTGCTATGGCGTTGTCGACATAGGGGAGGAGAACACTGCTATTGGCCGCTTTTCCTTTTCCAATTGATCGAATGAGGCGCAGCAGCATGTAGCAACAACGAGATCGCACTCGACTTGAAGGATGCTGTAAGCCTCGGTTTCCAGTCAGTGCATCCAGAAGTAGTTGCAAAAGTTCAGGTTGATCCTTGAGAAGAGGGTAGTACCGAACCGAAGTGTCATAGTACATGATTAGGACCTCTTGGTGGGAATGAAAGGTAATATCACTGGTATGCAAACGGACAAGAAGGTTACGAAAGGTTTCATTCTTCATAACTACTTTCAATCCTGGCGGCGGTCGGACACCCTCGCAATAATGATAGACCAAACGCAAGGCTGCTTCAACATCGGGAGTCTGTGCTGTTGAAAGTGGCATCGGGAGTTGTGACAAGATTTGACACAGAAACTGCAAACATGCTTCGGGAGCAGCCCGGACAAATTTCTGATTCAATTTTCGAAGTTCAACGCGATACATTTCCTCTTCGGCTTCGTCGTCATCTTCGTGATCGTACTGAAAGTCAGCAGGATATCTCATTTGACGATAGGTCACATTCAAGAGTTGACCAAAGACTTGTTCTTGCAAGGGTTCTTTCTCGTGTGATGTCACCAGCAGGCCAGCAAAAGGAATCACGGCCCCTGATACATCAATATCATCATAGGCAAAGCAACGGAAGAAAAGTTCAAGGATCTGCACATAAATTGGATGGTTTTCTTGTTTCTGCTGTTGAGAAAACATTGGCACAACCGCAAGTCCTGTTAGATTGATGAATTTGGCAACTTCCATCACTACATCAATGGGGCTTTCATCGACAACCGTCAGGTTTACAGTGGCATTGATCTGTTCCAGCACACCGGTACGAACCAGCAAGGCGATTTTTTTATCGTCGTCCATCCCACGACTAATCAGTTCTTGCAAACATTCCATAGCGGTCACTCCAGCATCGGCGACGATTGAGTCAGGAGTGGCTGACTGTGACAATGAGGAAAATAAGAGACTCAGCGTGGTTTCGTCCAGGCAAAGGGACAAGTCCACCCAAGGCATCATCCCTTTAATAACTGATAAACACAAGAGAGCAATAGAAAGAGCTTCTTGTGTATTCAAACTCGTGTTGGTTGCAGCTCTTAGAGATTGTCCCAGCATTGGCAGTACTGTACCCATAAGCTGCCCTGACATGCTTTGCACTGGCGACACGGATGGCTGCGATGGCTGTTGTTGTTGCTGTTGGTTTTGCTGGTGTTCGTTGACTGTAAAGCCACGCAACAAGTCCTTAATCTTGGTATTGACTTCTGTCTCGTCTTTTCCAAATTCCTCTGTCAACGTCACAAGGGTGCGCAAGAAAATATCAGGGGCAGCCTGTAGAAGGCTGGGATCTTGCAATTCGTTAAACGCATTCGGCCAAGCATGTGGGAAATCTACCTGAATAAAACTAGTCAGCAAAACTCCAACTTTGGTTCGAATGTAGACAGGATTCCAACAACTTCCATTTCCCATCACCTGTGATAACAGTTCTTGGCGAAAGGCAGCTCTTTGTTCTACTGTGGTTTGTGAAAGTCGGTGATACGTAGTTAGGCAGTAGAATAGAACCACTTCCTTCTGTGTCGCTTTCAGAACGCCCAACAGAATATCCGCAATCGCAGTGTCTGTGGAAGAGGAGACCCATTGAAACAGTAACGACATGGCCTGTTGTTGATTTTGCGAATTGGAGGCATCAGCTGCCAATTGCACGTATTGTTCCAGTTCTTGAGGTGTCATGATATATGGAAAAAGTCTTGTGCTCGTGCTATGATGTTATGCTGCTGTTTCTTTCTGTCGTTTTGCTTCGGGTTGTCATCGACCACTCATTTCCATTTCAATTTCTGTCGTGAATTCGTCTTATTTTCTGTCTATAAAGTTGAATGATTTGCCGCTTGTTTCAAAAGTGCGGTCTTTCTTGTATTTTGCTGGATTTCTTTTTGTTGCAACTGCCAATTACTTTCAGTCGATGCTACAGTACTGTATTTCTTTTTCTTTTATGGAAACAGAGTTGCCGCTAGCCTCAGGTTTCCAGTTGCTTGCTCTGCCCATAATTACGACTATTTTAGTTCTCAGAAACAAAATCAAACAATCAAAATAACAACACAAGAAGCAAAACAACACACTGTACTACTGTCGTCAAACCAAAGCAACAAGGACAACGATACCAACTGTAATCAAACTAAAGTCGAGGTTAGATTTTCAATGTTTTCGTCTGACAAAAGCAATGCTTCACAAACAGTGAGGAAAGTTGTCTTTATTCATCTTGATCTCGGAATTGGAGGCGCCGAGCAATTGGTTTTGCAACTTGCCACAGCCTCACAAGATTTAGGCTATCAGGTGGAATTGGTTACGACTCGGTGCGACTCGGATCATTGCTTTGCTTCCGTTAAGCGGCCGGATGGACGTTTATCGCAAAATGTACATATATATGGCCAATGGATCCCTCCCAATATTGCTGGAAAGGGAACTGCCTTCATGTCAACACTGCGAATGTGGTATTTGACTTGGAAGGTTGTGACATCCAATTCCTGCCACAGAAACGCCGATGTTGTGGTGATGGATGTCCTACCAACGTCACTTCCTCTACTCTTATCTTGGCTGCCATCAGCTGGTATCCTCTTTTACTGTCACTTTCCTGACAAGTTGCTCTTACGGAACCAGGGTGGAATGGCAAAACGATACTACAGAAAACTACTTGACAGCTTGGAAGAGTCGACCATGAATTTATCCGATACATTAGTCGTCAATTCCAAATTTACGTTGAGCCAAGTAAAGAAGCACTTTCCCAGTCTTGCATCCCCGTCTTCGCCAACCGAAATACTCTATCCAGCATTAGACACGAGTGGAATGGTCCAATCGAATCAACAATCCAAAACATCCAAATCTCCCATTGTATCTCTGAACCGATTCGAACGAAAAAAGAATATTGGTTTACTCATTGAAGCTTATGCTTACATGAAGGATAGGTCCAACAACAAGTTGCCCAAGTTGATCATTGCGGGAGGCTACGATACTCAAAATGTGGAAAATGTGGAATATCGAGCCGAATTGGGTCAACTGGCAAAAGACTTGGGCGTAAGGGAGGGAGGTGAACTTGAATTTTTCTTGGACATCAGCGATGCCCAAAGGGCGACTCTGTTTCAAACGGCTCTCTGTGTAGTGTACACGCCAGACAAGGAACACTTTGGAATTGTCCCACTCGAAGCAATGTATGCTGGGACTCCTGTAGTCGCCGTCAACTCGGGAGGGCCTACTGAAACAGTGGTGGATGGCAAAACGGGTTACTTGCGGGAACCGACAGCCAAAGCCTTTGGAGAAGCCATTTTGGAACTGTTTCGGGATCCGAAATTGGCAACGACAATGGGCAACGATGGACGACAACATGTGGAGGAAACCTTTGGGACTGGTCGATTTGCAACCAAGTGGCAAGCGTTGGTGGAAGAAACCAAGATGCGTCAACTGAAAAGATTTGGAGAGAGCAACAGTGGGTTGGTGTTGTGGGTGAATACGACTATGTACCTGGTGGAAGCCTTGCTAGCTTTTGCGGCGTGTATTCTACTGACCATCTTGCTGCGGCAAACAGGTGTCTTGGAACCCACTCAGTCCATCATTGGTGGTATGAGAAGCAGGTTTGCGGGTGAGGAACTGTAATGATATAAAAAAATAGAACTAGAAACAACAATTGCTGCCTCGGAAATTACCAACAGTATGGACAGATCGGCTCATGGCAAAGCGACTCTGCTGTTCCGAATGAGTTTACCATTTTGCAACAATACCTATCAATAGACTATTCAAAATCTACAGTAGCACTGGCAAAGAGTAATGTAATAAATAGTATTTTCAATTTCATAGCATTATCGTAACACATGATCGTTGCGAATTAGTTCGATCTCCATCCAATTGCTTACAAGCTCTCAAGTTGCTTTTGAAGAGCTTCCATGTCCGCCTTGATGGCGTCAGTCTTGACGCTCTTGATCTTTGCACCAATGGTGGCAGCTTCGGCCTCGTAGTAAGCTACGACAGCCTTGTTGTCCTCCCAGTCTCCGGAGAATCCGGTTGTGAGAACTTCCATGGCTCCGTCACGGGTCATGGTCTTGGAGGCTTCCTGCAATTGATCGATGTAGTTGTCCTCGAACATACGGCGCTTGGCACGGTAGAAGAAGAATTCACGAGAGTCTTCCCAGGCAACAGCACTCTTGATGACACCCTTGGCCTTCATGCGCCCAGTCTTGTCGTGAAGATCGGCAAACTCAGTTGCAGCTTGCACGTAAACAGGGATCAGAGATTCTTCGCGATCCTTGATTTGGTTAAGAAGGTTGTCGTTATCGTCATCAAACTCGCAAGCTTCGAGCTCGGAATCGAGCATTTGCAATTGTGGGTCAAGACGGTGCATGAGCTTGAGTTGGTCTGGACGACGGAACTTGACTTCGGTGATACCAGCTGGTTCCAAAATACCTCCACGAGAGTCAGGGTCAGCATACATCTCCATCTTTTCTTGGTTAATGGTAGGGTCAACAACAACCCAAGACCCACCACGGAGTTCACCATGGGGAGGAATGTACATGTATACGGGGTTTTCGTACTCACGGAGAGCATCGACAATCATAGCACCAAACTTGAGAATCTCTCCAGCCATATCACGGCTACCTCCAGAGAATCCACGCCAGTTGGCAAAGATCATGACTGGAAGACCTTCACGCTTGAAGTCATTGATGGCTTGGGCAGTCTTGTAAGAAGAGTCTGGGAAAAGAACTTGTCCAGCTTGGGGAAGGATGGCTTCGCGAGAGTTGGGGTCAGCAGGATCGGCAGGAATAACTTGCTCGACAAGGCGAGTCTCAACAGCAATAGCTCCCATGGGGATGCCTCCCAAACGTCCACGTCCGACAACAACACTCTTACCCCAGCCAGCAAGGTATTCAGTGAAACTTCCCTTATCAAAGAAACCAAGGGTGTTACCTTCTCCGGCCATCATCAATCGAGGATCATATGGTGTAGGAGTTGGACGCCACTCAACCTTTCTGTCGACAGGATCGGCAGAGTCGCGGACAGCTGGAAGGGCCCCAACGTTCTTGGAAACGAAACCTAACCATTTGATGAGAGATGCAACACCAGCTTGATCGTCGTTCACGATTTCGTGGGCAACACCATTGGGGTGCATGATTTGTGGTCCTCCAAGTTGGTCTTGGGAGTTGTAGACTTCTCTTCCAAGAAGCTTGTTCAAGGCAGAGAAACCAGTCAAAATAATCGGACCTTGTTGCATTTGGATGACACGTTGTCCAAGACGGACAAGGTAGGCACCAATTCCGACGGACCGTCCAGTGACGTAAGATAGAGTGAAAATCTCGTCATAGGCAGCAGAAGTCTCTCCGGCAATCTTTCCCGATCCTTGAAGATTCTCGACACCGATTCCATGGGCGGTTCCGATTACATCAGACAACTTCCATCCTTCGTCGCACTTGTCAGCAATGACAGTTCCTTCGGGGAGAACCTTGTAGTCTGCATCAGACAAGTAAAGGTACTCGAATCCCTTTCCAGGGTTCTCTTTGTCAATGAACTTGATGTTGATCTTGTCCTTCAACTCGTCGACAAGACCAATACGAGCACCAGCGTTACAGGAAATGTAAACACGGGGAAGCTTGTGTTCACGCGCATACTTGGAAGCCTTGTAGAAGAATTCATCTTCTTCCACTCCGAAAGATCCACTTTGAACGGTGACATCGTTGGAAATTAAGACAACTTCACGCCCTTCGGGATATTCAGGAGTCTTCATGGTCAACAACCAAGCGAGCATACCAATTTGGTTGGTACCGATTTGGCGAGAGCCAAGAACAAGCTCGCCATCGGCTCCATCGAGGAACTCTTGAACTTCGAAAAGGTTTGCAGGGATTTCATCAGTCTTTTGGTTATCGGTGATGAACGTTTGCCATTCGCTGATCAAACCAACCTCCAACAGTCCAAGGAAATCGTATGCGTATGTGGAGCCAACACGACGGGCAATGGCACGCTTGGTTTGGACAACACTGCTTCCTCCATAAGGATCAAGCAAACAAAAGTCTCCCTCGCCTCCATCGGGATCGACAATGCAATATTCAGCAGCAACACCGGTCACAGGATCAGGTTTTTCAAGGTAGACAGAGGGCTTGAGCCACTCGCCCTCAACAGAAGACGCGACAATACGGAGAGACTGAGTGGTCTGTTCACTGGATTGCAAGCGCACTCTGACTTCAATTTCATCAACACGCAACTTGAGAAGACGATCAGCAAGTTGACTCTTCAATTGCCCAATGATCTTCTGGAAGTCCTTCGCAATCTCCTCTGGGCTCGTGTTCTCAAGTTCACGAAGCGAATGAAGGAAGATACGAGATGACGATTGCAGGCTGACTTTAGAGTTTGATTGAGCTCGTTCAAGCTCATCCAATCCCGTCTGCAGAAACTTGCTTGCTCCAGAAGCTGAGACGATTCCAGGACTGTGAGAAATAGCACGCAAGAAAACAACTTGTTGTGGGCCACCACGTCCAGGCTTTGCAGACTTTTCACTTCCAATGTAAACTTGAGCGTTCTTTCCAACCGCAGGAATGCGCTCCAAGTTGTAGGCGTTTCTGAGACGGGAAAGTTCCAACAAATGGTGGAAAGTAGGGCGCATGTTGCGGCGAAGAGGGTCTTCATTGTATCCATCACATTGTGGGAAAGTGTAGTACAATGGATTGGACCTTTCTTCTGGAACCAAAAGACTAACGGTACGTACACCCATTCTTGTCATCTTCTCCTCGTGAGACTTGACCGTTGCCTCCAGGGATTGAAGATCGCTCTTTTCGGAGCTTGCTGTGGCAATGTGCAGCATGTGAATAGGTTCTCCTCCGGCAGTGGTTGGCTTGTCTCCGATCTTTGTTGCGAAACGTTCCAAGATGCCTGTCATTTGACTGTCAAGGCCAGAAAGAGATGGAAGGACGGAAAGATGACCTCGACGATCGACAGAATTCGAAGGTTCAACATCGGTGAATTGGAAGGTGAAGTCGCAAACAAGCTTTCCATCAGTCTCCGAAATGGTGAGGTCGCTGATGCGATGGGCACGGTAAACACGACGGACGTAGACCTCGATGGCAGCTTCTTTGACAGCTCTGTCCTCGTCAGAGAAAAGAGATGTCAAAAGGTCAACACCGGCAGAGAGAGTAGTAGACTTTGACAGCTTGACAAGATTGGTTTCGGGGTCGAGAAGAGTTGCCTTGAGTTCTGCAAGACGCTCCTCAAAAGCTGGAACCTTGGCTTGGCGAAGCAAGCTGTCAGCAGCAAGCTTTAGTTCGCCATAGATCTTCTCCTTCAATCCTGCAACCTCAACGAGGGCAGCTTCTAGTTCAGCTGGGATATCAGAAGATCTGAATCTGTCGCCGAAAGTTTCAATCTCACGGATGGTAGCAAGGATGAGACGGTTTCTGAAAGATATAGCCATGTGGGCTTGATTCTCAGCAACAACGACATCCAAAGTCTTAGCGTTGGCCTTAGTCATCTCGCGAACGACGTCATCCTTGAGCTTTCCAGCGAACATTTTCTCAACACGAAGGTATTCGTTGATAGTTTCGAGAGCAAGTGTAGATGCTTCTTCCTTGTCGGACACTGAAGCGAATGCAGCAGATGCAACAGTCTCTGGATTTCCCGAAAAACCAGCAAGGATGTTGTTCAGAGCTTCCTTCGGTTCAACATCAAGTTCAACTCCAGCAGTTTCAAGAACCCCTTCGAAAGTAGTGATCTTTTTGACCTTGGAAGGATCCTTCAACTCAAGACTGGCCATAAGGTCACCAGCGGAGATAACAGATCCAGGAGAAAGAGTATGGGTAATCTTTCCACTCTCGGTGGCCTTGATTGGCATGATCATCTTCATGGCCTCGACTTCGACGTATGCTTCGCCAGCATTGACCTCACTTCCACTCTCTTGCAGGTATCGGACAACCTTTCCTGTTACGTCGGTGCGCATTTCGGAAGGATCGAAGATGGAAGGCCTGAAAGCACAATGATCGTATTTAGCACAGGTTTGAACGAACACGATATACTAGACATCAGTATCGAGAAGTACACTTACATCAGAACAGTGACACCATCCATGACAAGGCGAAGTCCCAAAGGTTCATCCATACCAAAGATGCGGTGAGTTTGTCCATTGAAGTAGGCAATAATGGCTCCTTCCGCAGTCTCGGTAATTCGTGTATCAATGACGTTTCCGCCAACACTGAGGCGGTAGATATCAGCGGCTAAGCGTTCGACGTGGAAAGGGTACTTGATATCCTTATAGGCTACTTCGATGCTGAAGGAATTGATGGAAGGGATGGCGGAAGTGGAAACTTGACCCTTGTTAAGCGATTCAACAACCTCTGCAGTTTGCTCCTTAACATGTTGGAAGGCTTTGAAGATGGCAGCGCCAGTGACAGTAAGATCATCAGGAGTCTCGACCTTGACACTCTTTTCACGGATGATTCCATCGAGCCAAGATGTGTCGATGGTGTTGTCAATGAAGGCCGGGGTTTCCAGAAGTTGAACTAAGTATTCAACAGTGGTACGGATCTCTCCACGTACTTCGATCTCCTTCAATGCAAGGATAAGAGCCTTGCGAGCTTGTTCACGGTTGTTACCCTTGGCGAACAAGTGACCAAATTGGGAATCAGCAAACTCGTGGATACCACCGTTGGCACCAACACTGAAATATCCCCAAACATTGGAGGTCGATTGGAACTTGATGCGCTCGATGGTTCCAGAAGTAGGCTTGAAACCTTCATCAGGGTTCTCAGCAGTGATACGGGCGGCAATAACATGAGTGTCAATAGGCCTGTAGTCCTCCTCAAGAAAATCGATGGGGTCGGTTCCGTACATGTCAGGTTTTCCGTAAAGACGACGGATTTCGGGGATGTTGTACAGTGGGATTCCCATAACAACTTGCAATTGAGTGGCTGGCAAGTTGCAGTTGGTGATACCTTCTGTGACAGGGTGCTCGACTTGAAGACGAGGGTTCAACTCCAAAAAGAAGAAATCATCTGTGGCAGCGTTGTACAAGTACTCGACTGTTCCAGCTCCAATGTAACCAATGTTCTGGGTCAAACGTTGTGCAGCCCTTTGCATCTCCTTGAAAGTTTCTGGCTTGGCAATGGTAGGTGGACCTTCCTCAAAAATCTTTTGGAATCGACGTTGAGTGGAACAATCACGACCATTCAAAGCGACGGCATTTCCGTGTTGATCACCAACAATTTGAACTTCCAAGTGACGTGCGTTCTTACAAAGTTGCATGATAAAGATGGGGGAACCGACGACCTCGTTTTGTACCTGGATGTAAGCATTCTTGAGCTCCTCTTCGTTCTCAACGAATCGGATTCCCTTACCACCTCCTCCCTCGGAGGCCTTGACCATGATACCATTTTCGTATCCGATGCGACGAGCGGCTTCGATGGCTTCTTCGACATTGCGGCAAGTTCCCTTCTCAAAGGTTTCAGAAGGGATGGTTCCTTCTGCGTTGAGCTCGGCAACAAGAGGACCGTCATCTGGTCCACCGAAAGAACCACTCCATGGGATGGATGGAACCTTTGCAGTCTGAGCCAAAATGTTGGCGGCGATCTTGTCACCAAGAACACTCATGACAGGGGCAGTAGGTCCGATGAAAGCAATACCGTTGGCTTTAAGATTTGTTGGAAGAGCTGGGTTCTCAGAAGCATGACCCCAGCCGGGCCAGACAGCATCAACCTTGTTTTCGATGGCAAGCTTGGTGATGAGATCGACATTGGCATAGTTATTTCTGTTGACACCTCCTGCAACTTCAACGAAAGAATCGGCCAAGCGGATGAATTCAGCATTTGCCTTAATATCTTCAGGTGAAGCCATGGCGACGAACTGAATGGCATGTTCATCTCCCAATTCCATGTAAGCCCATTGACGCATGGAAAGGATGCACTTAGTAGCAGCCATACCGTTATTGGCAATCAAGATTCTCTTGATAGGGCGGTTACCTCCACGCTCTTCGACGTATTGTTCCATGGTCTTAATGGTCGAAGCAAGCACAGGCTCAGCAGTCGACATGTGCAAAGCACTTGAAGAAGATAGGCTGACATCTTCGACCTTGGCAACATTTCTAGTGAAAGTATTGGAAAGGAATGCAGTTGGAGCTGAAAAGGAAGAGAAAAATATTAGACTTCAAGCATGGTCATATTTTCAAACATTACAGACAAAGCATTGATGTCGACGTCGTCACTTGAAGGTGACTAATAATTCTGGCATCAATGAATCGGATAAGCACTCAATTCACTAGTAGCAATCGCACCAGGATGGATCTCAAGCTCATAGAATTCTCCTCATGAACGACGACTGTCAACAAAAGGGAGGCCGATGTCGTCAAATCGATTTAGCAATGATCCTAGTTTAGCCGGTGGGAAGGATTCCTTCAAAGCTTCACTCAAGTACCAGACTTCACGTGAAAAACCTCTGTCGACGGAATCCATCACCGAGCGCGCGCACGAGAATCAACATTCAAAAATATTCAAATTCGTATCCTTTTCAGACAAATCACACTCACACTTCAGATTGAAAGCATCCGATGTCGTTGCAACACTGGCAGCCACAATCGCCAAAATGGCGGTCTTGTAACCCCGTCCAAACATCATTGTCGGATGTTTAGATGACTGATCCGGCGTTGTTTGGTGGTTTGTGCTTCTTGATTGCGAAAGATCCGTTCATCACCTCATCGTTTGATTTGAAGTGACGTACGCTATAACAGGACTGAAATAGCTTCGTAGACGTCGTAGGAAAGATACTCATGAATTATTCGTGAATGAATGATGTCAACAATTTTTTTCATGACGTACGAAGTTGGACTACGGCGGGATTACACGATGATTTCGCAAATCACAGAGTTTGACGTCGACAACTTGAAACCTAAAACATCAACTCCGATAACCGGCGTTTTGTCAAAACAATTGTTCTCAAATCCAGAGAGAATTTGGATCCATTTCGAATTTTAAAAGATTCTGTACATTCCGACTGTTGAAGACATCATCATGATCAGTTTGTTTCTATTGAATTCCTTATTTTTGATTTATCTGATGTCGTCGTCGAGCATTAGGTTTCATGATATCAACAATCAATCAATCAATCAATCAGTCGTCATTGCTGAATTGTGACTTTGAAGTTGACGACTCGAGTGTTTATAGACTGATGTCAATGCTCTATTGGATTTATCAAGACTGAACAGAAGAGGCGCCGTCTTCTGCTGCGGATGTTGTGTTGGTACTGGTACGTGTACTGTTGCCAACCGGTTCTGACGATGTTTCTGAGATCAGCTCTTCCATCCCATGAAGCCACCACCACCATTTTTTCGGACCCCAAATGCTATGCGTTCTTTGAAACTCGTAGAAGCCAGGTTGATCGCTGTATTTCTCCAGTCGCTTTCTGGACAGTGATCGTGTGGATCCTTTCAGCACCGTCACGACGAACAGGAGTCCGATTGTTGCCAAAAGTGTGTGCACAGTGGAAGTGAATCCATGACCAAGATACGTTCCCCACCAGAACAAGCCTTCTCCAAGATAATTTGGATGCGTACTCCATTTCCAAAGTCCAACGTTGCACCAGGAATGTCGATGCATTGATTTGAATCCATTCTTCTGCAAATCAGCTATCGTTTCGAGTAGCAATCCAGTAATCTGAAATAGCAATCCGCTGTATCCCACAATGCCCCACCGTCCGTTAGTTTTTAATCTGCTCCAATTGGATGCCATCATGGAAACATAGAAGAAAGAGTATACAAACCAACATAGCAGTCTAGAAGCAAAAGGGATATCCATTGTCTTTTGTAGATCCACAACTTGGGAGTGGAGTTCTGGCCAGGTAAAGTATTCTCGCCAAGTTAGGAACATTAGTAACCGGAGTCCCCATGCAACTGTTAGGTAAGAGTGGAATAGAGTCGGTATGGATAATTGAGTTTGGGACTAGGTAGCAAGAATTGAGTATTGAGTAAGCAACGATAATGCGCCAAGGAATTATGCAATACAATCAATAGAAATATCAGCACATACCTTGTAGATTTTCAGCGCCACTGCGACGGGTAGAGTGATTCCAGCAGCATAGCCGACGGTGATAAAGTAAAGAAAAAGATGAAATCCACAGGATGCCCCAAGCAGTGCGAGAGCATAGAGTGACAGGAACGACACTCCTTTATCGGAAGTCCACAATACGGACAAGAAAGTCACTACCGATGGTGTCACTTGGGCACCTTTCCGTTGCAACGTATTCATTCCCTCCTTTACTTTCCGAATTGTTGCTTCATTCGCCTTGATCACGTTGGGCAACAACTTATTTCGCTTGTGCCGTAGGGTGCCCAAGAACGCGGCGGTGGCACCAGACGATTGGCCCTGAGTGGTGGGGGAAGGCGTGGTTGGATTTTCTCCACCAGTAGCGTCAGCACCTCCACTCAAATTGGTCGTCAAACCCAACGGCTTCTTTGCTGAAGCCTGGTTTTTGTATTTCGTAGCGTAATGAAATCGATCCTTTGCCGATTGGATTGCATTCTTCACAGTTGATCCTCTTTCAGGTTTGAAGATCCTGTTTGATGCTGACCTTGCGCTGGAAAGAAACACCGTGCTTGTAGGTATGGGTGCAGATTCTTTATCTTCTCTTTCACTATGATATCTTGATGATCGATCAGTTATTAGGTCATCATGTGCTGGTGGTTGAGTCGGTGAACGCGTTGGCCTTCGTATTTGATCCGTTGACAGCTCTGTGTCAATCCTCGTTGATGAGCGCTGAAATCGTTGCAGACCCTGCTGAAACTTTTTTGCTTCTATCGGCACTGATTCAAGGATTAGCAGAGCTATTATGGCAATTAACGGAACATACTGCATTGCTGTTCGGCCTTTCGATTTCATCGTGCATTGATCTTGTTGTTTTGATGGTTGACAAGTATTACAAAAATCTAAACTTTTCAAACCAATATCGCGTCTGTCCAGAATCCGTTCCTATTGTTTTCGAATCGAATTCTGACATTACTCTTGCCTCTTGCTACATTGGTTGGAAGACACAAAAGACAGCGTATTTCTATTCATTTTCAGTTTTTACATTAATATTACTAAGGACAGTAGTTTTGACAGAACAGATGAGGTAAGTTTTCTCGATTTCAAAATAAGTATTGTCTCATCATAAATCCCCAAGTGACAAGGAACAGGTTGAGGCCCCATCGTCCTCATCGACTTCGTCTTTGTGTTCTCCAATCTCTTCACAAACACTCGCAGTGTCGAATTTGTAAGCCGTTCGAGTCGTTCGGGAACTTGTGCCTTCCAAGGAAAATGATGAGTTGGATTCATTTTGCTTTCGTACCCAGGCGTCAAAGGTGGAACAGGAACCATCGAGGCTCAACGATTCCATATCACGACGGCGCAGCCATTTGCTATCCAGGGCTTGCTCCAGAGTCATTCGTTTCTTGGCATCCACTGTAATGAATCCTCGAATGACATTCTTGCATGCTTCAGATACATGCTCCCAGTAACACTTGTGGAATTTGAACTTGCCTTCACAGACAAGGGGTTCAACTTTGTCGTCTTCCTCGTCGAAGGGGGCATATCCGCCCAACAAGATGAAGATGACTACACCAATGCTCCAGTTATCACACTTCTCACTGTATCCATTCGTGTGTGTGTACAGTTCGGGTGCACAATACTGAGCAGACCCGCACAGAGTCATCAAGCAGTTGGGCTTGTCCATGTATTTGGCACAGCCAAAGTCGGCGAGTCGAATGTCACTGTTGTTGGATTGACTTGTCAGCAAAACATTCTCAGGCTTGATATCTCGGTGAGCAACGTTTTTCTTGTGACAGTATCGAACAGCTTCAATGAGCTTTCGCGCGATACGCCGTCCATCTTGTTCGGTAAAGGAAATCTTATCATATAGTCTCTCCAACAAGTCTCCACCCTCCATTTCTTCCATGATCAAAAATGTTCTATCCGGTTGGCGGAAGACATCGAGGAGCTGAATGATATTGCAGCCGTCTCGAAGTCGCTTCATTGTCTTTATCTCGTCCTTGATGTTCTCACCGTAGTTTTCGTAATTCCCGTTGTGGATTTCCTTCACAGCATAGGTGGTTCCCCTAGCCTTGTGCCGACATCGAAAGACATCGGCGAATCCTCCTTCTCCTAGTAGTTCCTCTTTTTCGTAACATTCGTCAAACGTTTTGTTGCCAGCCGAATCATTCACTGACAAGTGTAATCGTGAGACGGAGTTGTGCATCTTTACTTCTTGAAGGAGGTCTTTGGTTATCAGCCCTCTGTTGCGAAGTTGATTCGCATTTCGCTTGGGGGCCCTTATCATTGATACCTCGTTGGGTGGAGATGTTTTCATGTTGGTGTGTTGTGTGTTTTACGAGTTTTTTATTTGTATGTGTGCAAGAACTAACTGCTTTGGGCAAGTCTCGTTTCTCGTTTTCTTGGTCTTGCGAAGTGGTCTTGCTTTGAAAAAGCAAGGCTCAGATTTGTTGTTTTCTACTGACGCAAGTGCTATCAAACATTTATCGCTGGGGCATAAAAGTAACATCACATATGCCACTCTTCGCACCAGGGGGAGGTATGATGCGCCATAAACTACCAAAACTCGGCGACCCATCATCGAAACTAGTCACCCTTTTTCGCTGGTTTTAAGAACCATACTTCTCCTCGCCACCAAAATGAAACACCCTGTGCAGTGACCAGTTCGAAAAATGACTGCATTTCTAAAGTGGTCGGAGTAGTCTATTTTTATTTTAGATTATCGTTGGCCTGTTATAGTACAATAGTGTACTCGTTGCTGTAGTCGTTGTACTTGTGATGTGTTGGGGGATGAGAGAAACCATAATAAATTATTGGTAAACTGATATATGTGAAGTACGCATTGTGCTGCAACGATCAATTGCTGGAGAATTCAGAAACCGACGCGCAAACATTCAGGAGGTTGGACAAGACGCGAGGCGAGGAGGGTTAGGGTGCTACTCGAGTCATGTACTACCGTATTGCAGTTTATATCTTGTTATTTCACCTTTAATTATGCAAACAGTGGTGCGGCTGCCCTGTATGAAAAACATATAGTATGTTTTCCGTCATCAATCGATCGGATAATTATAATGATCTCGTCTGGTAGGACTTGTCAGCGTTTCGAATCGTGGTGACGGCATCCAATGGGTCCAAGTCTCGGGCAATCCTTTGAATACGACCATCTGCGACAATGTACATTGTCGAGTACAATTTTTGTGCTCCTAGAGCCGTGTACGCTTTCATCCAGGTCTTGGACTCATCGGAAAACATGTCAATATTCGCAACATTGGACTTTTTCAGGAACCGCCTGTTTTCAGCAGGTGAATCTGCACTAATCACAATGGTTTCCTTCAAGAGGTTCTTGGGCAGTTCCATTGATATCGCCTTGGTGATTTCTCGAAGATCATTCGATTTTATTCTAGGATCACAGACCACGACGAGGAAATCAGACCCTCTCCCATCTCGGGTCCATGGAACGAGTCGCTTTGCCCCCATTTCTCCAATTGGCTGCTCTGAAGTTGTTGGTATCAGGCAATTGAACTCTTCCGTTGGAGCTGGATCACCTTCGAACAAAAGGTCTCGCCCAGACACTATACTCGAGCGACAAAATGAGTTCACTGCTATGCATCAAGTACTAACAAGCAATACAGCCCACTCTCACAGCATCATCACTTACCCCGTAAATCCATATCTAGTTCTTCCTGATCCTTGGTCAGGTAACTATCTGCAGAGAGATCAGTCATTGCAACCGGTTGGGTGCTCAAAAGCTCTTCGAAACGTTTGCGATCGTTCTGTTCCTTGATTTCTTCATCGGAAAGCTTGTTGTTGGCTGACTTCTCATCGGATGCTTCCTGAGCCGATTGCTGCTTGGCGAGTTCCATTTTCTTCAACAACTCAGCTTGCTTATTTTTCATCTTTTTCGCCATGCCGATCTCCGTGGGGAGCCTGTGAGCATTGGATATCTTGCATCCCTGCAGGGATGAGAATGCGGCAACCCCACTTGGAATGAGGGTCGTCGCCAAGGAAAGGAGAGGAATAGTTGTCTTCATTGTTTATTCACGCGTATGAAAGAGCTGTACAGTATAACGTTGCACGTTGTAAGTCCTCTTACGATAATGAAAATGAGTGCTATTCAACAACAACAACACCATATGATGAATGAATGATGACAGTCACTTGACAACTCTTCTTGCATACGCATGATGATGTGTCGGATGATTTTTGGGCATGAAAAAGTCCTTCAGACGACCATCCATTTTTCATTTCAGAAACATGACGACATGGACCTTTTGCACTTGATAGATAGTTCGTCTGAGAGTGGAGAGGAGAAAACTGAGGATGATAATTCGAAAAGGAAGCTGAGCCAGAAAGAAGAAGATGCGAACTCCAAACGCAGGGAAAAAAGACAAAGAGCAGAACCACCTGATCAATCTCGAGACAATGAGAAACCAAAGAAGGGGTCCATCACCATTATGGCTGCAAGCAAGGCGCCATCTTCATTCTTCAAGAGATCGATTCCTCATCGACAAGGTCACTGGGCTGGCCATATCATGATTCCCGTGAACTCATTTTCTCCTTCTTTCATTCGAAGCAGCGTCCGAAAATTTCAGCACAGGTTGGAACTCCATGGCTACTCGGGGATTGTGGTCGAGCATGACGAAATCCACATTTCTTTGTCCAAACATTTCTCCGTTCAGGCCAGTAACTTGGAATCCTTTGTTCAGCAGTTGAAAAGGCGGCTGGAAAAGGAACGCCCAACCAAGCTATTTGTCGACACATCAGGCAACATCCTTGTCAATGATGAAAGGACCAGGTCCTTTTGGGGTTGGACGGTTCAGCCCAATACTTGTCTTCGAAGAATAATTTCTCATGTCGATTCAGTATTACAGCAATACAATCAACCGTCGTACTATGAAAACCCAATCTTTCACATCAGTCTTGCATCGTCGACAGAGGATGTTGCCCATTTGAACAAGTCAACTACTGAGGACTTGAAACACAGCGACAGTGACTCGACCGAGACCTCCGACGACGGTGACGATTTCTATACCAACGATAACACTGTTGCTGTTGATAGAATACTATGCAAGTTTGGGAACAAGAAGACATATGAAATTGTACTCTAAAATTACGTATGCTATGACGACAGTCCCCAATCTGTGTCATGCATATCCCCTTCGTAGTCATATCTATCTGGAAGCGGAGCTTGCCTCAAAGCATCGATTGCAACACGTTGGAAAGTTGCATTGCACTCGAGGATTGTCACCTCCACAATCCACGAACAAGTCATCCAAGTCTCCTGCGTCTCCCCGTAGATCGCAAATCGAGGTTGGGACACTTCCAGTCAGAAAATTGTTCTGGAGCAACAGCTCGTTGAGATCTGGCAAATCGTTAGGCTGGAGGAGTGGCGGAATAGTACCGGTTAAGCCATTGCCGTCCAAATATAGATCCCTCAACAGCGGTGGTCTCGAGTAAGTGCTTGGAATCGTGCCTGTGAAGGTATTATTCGAGAGGTACACCAAATGGAGGGTAGGCACGTCGAATATCGAGGCTGGAATGGTTCCCGTTAGTGAATTTGACAATACATCGATGGTTTCGAGACGATCGAAAGCATCGAAAACATCCGGAAGAGTGCCTCGGAAGAAATTGCTGTTGATGATTAATTTTTCTGTTGATAGAGTATCAAAAACAGAGAGCAAAGGTTAGATTTGCTGTACTTGTTACCACTGTTTTCAGCAATCGTGTGTAGCTACATACCTAAATGAACCAAACTGGCAATCTCAGTCGGTATAGTTCCAGTCATTCGGTTTTCGTCCAATCGAAGGTTTGAGAGGTTCGTCAAATCACCGACTTCTGTTGGCAACGAGCCGACGAAAGCATTCTGATCCAGAAATAGCGACTCCAGAGACGTAGCTCTGAACAGATCTCTTGGAAGACTCCCACCGAATGCTTGTCCGTATAATCGTAGATCAATCAGTGCCGAGAGATTCCCCAATTCTGTCGGTAACGTCCCAAACATTTCTCCTTGAAATGTGTTGTCATACAGAAACAGGAACTGTAGTTCCGAGAGAGAACCAATTTCACTTGGTAGAGTTCCTGTGAGTTCAGCATCACCCAACCAGAGTTGCTGAAGATTCTGCATATTCCCAACCTCTGTAGGGATGGAACCATCGAGAAAGTTGCTGGATGCCCGATACGCAATAAGGGAGGTCGTTTGCAAGACAGAAGCAGGCAATACATCCCCAGTAAACAGATTTTGCTCGATATCCAAGAGAACAAGATTGGAGAGTTCTGAAATGGTGGCTGGAACTGTCCCAAAGATGTTGTTGTCGAATAATTCCAGCCGCTCCAATGCTTGCAAGGTGCTAATCTCCGATGTCAGTTCCCCAACGAGCCCATTCTCCTCTGCGTAAAAAGAAAGGTGAGTGTTTTCATTATTTCGTGTTTCAAATTCATCATCATTTCCCATGACGTACTCAGTTGAAGAAATCTCACATCCACGCTGTTAGCATTACATTCCACACCAAACCAGTTGCATTCTTGACTTGCCCCAAGCCAACCGTTCCGATCAATCCAGTTGCCTCCTTCCAACGCATAGTATGTTGTGATGAGGCCATATCGTTGCTGTAACCTGGACGCAGGGCCATCTCGCAGAGGTGTCGTGGTTGCAGAACAGAGGCTGGTCAAACCGGGATCTTCAGTTGCCATGTATAGGTATGCTTGACCTTGTGGAGTCGTGTTATCTAGCAGAAGAGAATCAGCCGTAACCTCTTTGAGAATATCAAGAAGATACTGCTGACGAGTTGTACCGACTGGACAGCTCGAAGGTATAGTTGGAGCGGGAGTTGGACTTGGTGTTGGATTCGGCGTTGGAACGGGGGTTGGTCTTGGTGTTTGACTTTGCGTTGGAGGTGGTGTCGGTTTCGGTGGAGGTGTCGGCGGCAGTGTAGGCATTATACTCATTTGCAAGTCCCTGGAGTCAAAGAGTTCCCGTTCCGTCACCACCTCAAAGTTTGCAGTAGCGACTGCATGTTCCCAAACATCCTTGAGCTGTTGTGGTTTAGGCTTGGGTCTAGTTGCCACTCTTTTTATTGTTTCGTATTTGTGCTTTTGTGATGATGATCGATTTCTACGAAGAAAGTTGGTTTCAGGTTCAGCTCCCGTTACTGCTGCCGATAACAAGGTGGTGCATAGAAGAGCTCGTTTCATGGTGGATACTGTTGTAATAGATGGGCAACTGATGCATAGATCAAACATCTCAACTTGACCCAAATAACTTTTTCCACCAATTTCGGCCCATCCACAAGACTTATCTTGAATTTTGTCGACTACGATTTCATTGCTAAATTGAGATTGGAATCCCGTAAACATAGTACTTTATTTTGTGTAGAATTAGTATTGAATAAATTATTACTATTTTAACAATGATTACGATCATCACATCCAATGCTGATGACTATACATATATAAACTCTCTTTGAATAGCGCACTACGATGTAGCCACTGTGCCCTCGAAGCATCGATTGCAGCAGTCTGGGAAATCACATCGGATTTCGGGGCTGGATCCACCACAGTCGGACCACAAGTCATCCAAGATTCCATCAGTTCGCAAGTCGCAAACGGAATCCGGCATGGATCCGGTGATCCGGGTGTCTTGGATCAAGAATTCGTTCAATTCCAGTAATCGACCACTGGAAATACTTGGAACGGTTCCTCCAATGTTGGTAGAATACAAATAAAGATCTCTCAGTTCACCAGCATTCTGGAACGAAGAAGGGATGGTACCTCCCAAATTGGGGCATTCGTGCATGTACACGAATCGAATAGTAGGAACGCTGAAAATGCTCTCCGGGATATCACCAGTGAGAGCTTCGTTACCCGAAAGATCAAAGTACTCAAGAGCTTCGTAGTTGCCGAATATGTTTGGAACACGACCAGTCCAAAAGTTGTCTCCGAGCTTGAGGAACTGAAGGTTGGTCAATTCTCGGAGTTGAGGAGGGATGGTTCCGTCAAGATTGTTGTTGTCAACGCGGAAATCGATGAGGTTTGTGAGGATTCCAATGTTGGCTGGAAGGTCACCAGTGAAGAAGTTTCCATCAATGCGGAACTCGGTCAAACTGGCCACGTTGAAGAGACTTGGTGGAAGAGTGTTGGAAAGGAAGTTACTGTGCAAGTAAAGTTCCTTGAAGGGAATGAGAGCGAGCTCGGTAGGGATGGTACCCTTGATCTCATTCTCGTGGAGGGCAAGAGTGGTAAGAGATCGCAAGTTTCCAATTTCGGTAGGAATACTTCCATCAATTCCATTGTCCGAGATCCATAGCTCTTCAAGACTTCGCAATAAACCGATTTGAGTCGGAATGGGATCGGAAAGCGAGTTTCCGGTAACCTTGTAGCTCTTCAAGTTGGTCAAGAACCACATTTGAGGAGGGAGTGCTTCTCCAGACAGCTCATTCTCTTGCAAGTCAATGGATTCCAAAGCAGTGAGGTATCGGATGTTTGTGGGAATGCTGCCGATCAAAGAGTTGGCAAACAAGTTGAGATCCGACAAACGAGTCAATACTTCGAGTTCCTCTGGGATGGTACCGTCCAAGTTGTTGATTTCTGCAGAGGGAGTGAAGAAATAATGTGAGTCAGAGAGACTGAATGCCAACAATGTATAGAACACTGGAGGCTTTATCATTGGACGTACCGAGATTAATGTTGGTGACAAGATTGTCAACACAGTCGATTCCAGCCCAGTTACATTCTTGTTCTCCCGTTAGCCAACGAGCCTTGTTGGTCCAGTTGTCACCCTTGGTGGAATAGTACATAGTGAGGAGACTGTATCGTTGGGCAATGTTCTTGTCACCACAGGGATCGGCGAGGTATTCATCAAACAAGGCCATGTACTCGAATGCTTTTCCTTGGGGAGTGAGACGATTCTGCAAAATGTTCACATTGGTGATTTGGGATAGAATCGCCAGAAGGTAGTCCTCTCGACTTTGTCCACCGCACGAAACAGGGCTCAACGTGGGCATAAAGACCGGTGGCATGGTAGGGGTGGAAGGGCCGTGTACCATACTCATGCGTTGAAGATCACGGTACATACTGTCTGCCTCATTTTCCAATTCTGCCTTGGCAGCGACTTCATCCCAAATATCTCCGGTGGTTCGTGTTGCCTGTGCTGATTTGTTTTCGTTGGAAGTACGTTTTCGCATCAGCTTGGCGTTGTTACTTTCTTCCTTTTCTGAAGTGACGCCGGAAGCATGTGCCATGGCTCCAAAGAGCGCCAATGGCAATAGGATTGCCTTTTTCGTACTAAAGACCATGATGATGTTGTGTAATGTATGTACGTAAGTATGCTTGTATCAATCAAAATAGAATGTTGTTTGTTGATTTTTGTAGGGATATGACCTATCGAAAGTCACCCAAGGTGAGAAATCCGAAAGTTGCGCGTTGATGGCTCGACGAAAATAGTATCTCGCGCACCGAATCACGAGAAAAAGATTGCTTCCCAACGGTCGTGAGAATCGGCGACTCGGTCGAATAGAATGAAGCTACTTCTGTCCATAAGGTTTTAGAACAGCGTGGGGAAGTAGCGGCATTGATGAGGAGAAGGATGTTGTGACAGAAAGCGACCCTACAATGATGCAGAAGTGACGTGCATTGCGTTTTTAAAAAAAAAAAAAACCACTGGCTAGGCAGATAGTACACAAAGTTTGGTGTATCCAAATTTTGCTTCATTTAAAAATGGAATTTTGCAGTGAACAACAATGTATTTAATTATATTATATTAGGGAACAGTGTATAGGAATGGGACGATTATTGGGATGAACCAATTTGATCTCCAAGTGCTTCGGTTGTGATCGAGGTAAGTTGTCAAGTAACTCCTTGTTAGCTGTGAACTGAAGGTACTTTTGAGAGTCAGTCAATGTAATCCAAGCAACCAGAACGGCTGCAAGGTAATGGTAGATTAATCTAGTCACAATGTGACACACATTGGCATCAAGTTGCGTATTTTTATCTGTTCATCTGGCACTTTTTCATCCGCGCCTCGAAGCAGGCATTCTGGCGGTTCCCGGCAAATAATTTTGTCGGATTCAAAACCCTCGTCACGTCCAAGAAAATCCCGATCAAATGGGTCGAAATTTTGATCTCCCTCCAATACAGATCCGGGTTCTCACTTTGCTACCGTTAGACTCTGGTACATAGATTGGCACCCGCGCGAGCCGGTATGTACTTAAGAGGTTCTATCGTGCTAGTCACTGCAACCACATTTTTCACTTAGCACGGAGAGCGCTCTTAATGTCTCGTGCGATATTATTTGAATCTTGGGATATATATGTTGCGAAGGTAGATATATTCGCGACCGCGTGCAAACATATCCGTTGCTAGACTCCCCACATACCCTCTCTGAGCCAACAGTGTCCGAGTTTGGCGGGTACACGAATAATAGAGTTGAGATTTTATTGCGACCGACTCACAAGACAAATCATTACGTGGGACATAGTATTGACCCAAGATCTATTGTCTACAGTATTATACTAGCATTTACTTTATCATCATCAACCAACAACAACAATGGCTCGGATAACATCACTCCAACTGCTTCCAGTGCTTTTTGCACTCCTGAATGTAGCTGATGCGCAGAGGAAACGCAATTTTGTCCTCGAAGTCGATGAATTGATGGACAACGTCAAGATTGAACATCGCGGCCATCGCGGACTCCGACACGAAAAGCCCTTCCACAGAGCCCTTGATGGGCACATGGAAATGGGAAAAGACACCGGCAAAGGTATGGCTGGAAAGGGAAAGATGAAGATGGGCAAATCGAACAAGAAGGGTTCGTACGACTCCAAGGAGAGCGAACTTTCCTCCAAGAAGATGAGCAAGAAGACCTCCAGTAAGTCGAGCAAGAAGGGCTCCAAGAGACGGGGTATGGAAGATCCTATGATGCCCGAACCTCCAATGGACATGGATATGGGCATGGATATGGGCATGGATATGCCAACCATGCCTGAACCTGCTACTCCTGTTCCTGTGGTTCCAGTGGTACCTGTCCCTCCAATGGAAGACGAGGAAGACACCCCAATGATTCCACCTCCAGTGATTGTTGCACCCCCAGTCGATTCGCCTCCGATGGAAGACGTTCCAGCAACGCCTGTTCCTCCAGTCTTTGTTCCAGTTTCCCCTCCTCCACCAGTGCAAGAAAATCCGCGGACGCCTGACCCTCCCATGGTCATTCCTGTTCCAGTTACACCTGAACCTCCAATGGTCATTCCTGTTCCAGTTACACCTGACACTACCCCTGACACTCCCATTGTGATTCCACCTCCCATGATTGTGCCAGTTCCAGGAGGCACACCTTTTGTTCCCATTCCAGTTCCAGTGCAAAGCATTGCTATTGTCAGTCAGAATGAACCAGCTGTCTCCTTTGACATGGACATGGACATTAGCTTTGACATGAGCATGTCCATGCCTATTGCTCCTCCTGTTCCTTCTCCTGTTCCATCCCCTACTCGCAGACCCACTACTCCTACACCACCCATGACACCAGCTCCAGTGCCCACCACGGAAGCACCAATCTCGACTCCTCCTACCATTTTGAAGGATTGCGATACTTTGTCTCGCGAAGGAGCCATGCTTACCATTTTGGTGCAGATCACCGAAGGACCCATCATTGCCAACCCAGGAACTCCTCAAGGAATGGCCTTTCGCTGGTTGCTCAATGACGATCCTGCCCAGATTGATCCATGCACATACATTACTCTTACCCAACGTTATGCTCTTGCCACTATGTACTATTCTACCTTTGGTGCCGACTGGAATACCAACACTGGATGGCTCAGTGGCAGTAACGAATGTTCTTGGTTTGGAGTCACCTGCGACGGAGAGGGCTTTGTTTCCGAAGTCAGACTCGGTAAGTTTTTGCTTTGTGTTTGCATGTATGACACTACCCGACATTTGCAACTTTTTTCTCACTATAACTTCGTTCTTTCAATCACTATAGACGGCAATGGACTTGTCGGAGACATTCCTCCTGAAATCAAGGTCTTTTCCGAGATTACCATCTTTCGCACTCGCACCAATGCTTTGAGTGGTCCCATTCCAAATGTGTTGACCTCCATGACCAAGTTGGTCACCTTTGATGTGGAAGACAATGACCTCACTGGACCACCAGTCGTGGACTTGACTGGTCTTACCTCGTTGCAACGATACCGTGCCTCTGAGAATCGCTTGTCCGGATCTATTTCCGATACCGTTTCGGAAGCTAGTGCCCTTCAACAGCTATGGTTGGCAGACAACTTGATTTCCGGAACCATGCCTACCACTCTTGGTCTTCTAACCAACATGGAAAGGCTCTTTTTGTATCGCAACCTTTTGTCGGGAACCATTCCCAGCGAAGTTGAAACCTTGACATCATTGGTTGGATTCCAACTCCAATCCAATCGTTTGACTGGAACCATTCCTGAAGGATTGTACAACAGTGCCGCCATGGGAGAAATCCGTGTAGACCGAAACAGTTTGTCTGGAACAATTTCCAACGAACTCGGAAACTTGGTCCAACTCTCTGATCTTCGATTCAACAACAACTTGATGTCTGGAAGTCTGCCACCATCTCTTTCTGGCCTCACTGATTTGCGTAAGTTTCAATATATGTATATTGGTGAATGCACATGTCGTATGATGCTTCGACCATTTGCTAACGTGAATCCTCTCTTTCTCCTCCTTTAATCACAGGTATTTTGCGTGTCAATGACAATGCCTTTACCGGTACTATTCGTGACAGCTTTGATGGATGGTTCTCTTTGGACTTTGCTGACTTGAAAAACAATCAACTCTCGGGATCGCTTCCAGGATCCATCTTTGAAATTCCTACTCTTCGCATCTTTTACGCTCAAAATAACCAATTCGACTCTAACATTCCACCAAGCTGGGGCAACTCTCCCGTCTTGAGAGATTTGTATCTCAGTGGAAACGAATTGACTGGTACTGTTCCCGCTGTCGAAGTTGGCCAATTGGGAGCCTTGACGGAATTGATTTTGCAAGACAATCAATTGACTGGAACTGTTCCACCATCTGTCTGTCAATTGCGAGAGGAAGGCAGCGGAGCTCTTGTCAGTCTGTGGACTGATTGTGCCCCAGAGGCCAGCCCAAGAATCGAGTGCGACAGCTCTTGCTGCAACTTGTGCTTTCCCAACAGCACATCGCCAGTCCTCGAATCTGAGAACCCTCTTGCATAAGCGCCCCCCATTCTTGACGCCACAACATATACCTCATACAGCCCAAAAAGCACAACATTCACAGCACACTGAACACTATATATATTTTAGCCAAAAGCAACTATTTGTCAATATGTTTTTAATACTTTTGTAGGCTGTTTAGATTACCGTACCACTGCTCCAATAAGATGGATTTTGACAGATACAGTGCTACTACCAAAATCAGGTAGGCGAAGGTGTCTGAAGCTACATAGCACCTTCAGACTTTGTTTTGGTTGACATGAACACATTAGTTTACAAGCAAATCAAGCGATTTGCAACTACATTGGCGACAGCAGATTACAGCGCCGTCAGATTTCCGGACATTGACACACAAGCGCCCTCTCAGCAGGCCCTTGAAAGAGGGTGCGACTTTGAACTATTCTTCCATCGCCACTTCTTTCGGATCTTCACTGACTGTAAATATGCGATCATCCTTTGGAACACTTTCATCATTCACTTCGTGCACCATGGTTAAAAAGGTGCTGAGCTGTCGGTGGTTTTCCAACTTTCTCTCGAAACGTTCTTCATTGAAATTAACAGCTGGTAGATTCTTCATCTTGTTCATCAAACGTTTTACTTCACGATCTGTCAGCTCTCCATCTTCATCTCGGTCAGCTTCCATAAGAATTTGCATTAAACTTTGCACAGTATCTTGCTTTTGAATTTCATGCATTGTATCAAGCGTCTTTTGGTTTTCTGCAACCAAACCAGTGAGCTTCTTAACATCCGAACCACTTTGTTCCGCAATTGCGGAAAGTTTTTCCTCACACTCCTTTAGTGGAACAATTTCCTCCTCGAGGCGATCATTGTTGGCAACCAGCTTGGTGTTTTCGGCAGAAAAGTCGTTGACTGAGGCCCTGAGTCCGTTATGGACTGTTCGCAAGGTCTCGAGGCTTTCCAAGTCAAAATATTGAAATTTGGATACGAGACCACCCACAATAATTGCCACTAACCCAGCGACTGTCACAACGGCACCACCCCAAATTCCCATTGCAGCAAGGTAAAGGCCTACCATGGCTCCACAGATTCCCAAAACACCCATTGTGACTGGTGTGAGCACCTTGTCTCCCCCCAAACAATTCTCTTCTCCTCCTTCTGCAGCTGGAGTTGCTGCATCGGCAGGCTTGGAGGCAGGCTTGGAGTCTTGGGCCTCTACATCAGGCACTTCCTCTTGCGGAGGAGTTTCTTCCTTTGCTTCGTCGGCCATCTTTTAAAAGTTGATGAAAATAGTCGTCAAGCTTTCTTCACTCTTGCTGTTGTTGTTGTTGGGCTGTCACCAAAAAAGATTTTCAATCACAGCTTCCGTTCAGTGTTGCCGTACTAAGATGTACGCAATCACGTTATGAGTCACGAATAGTCATCATATTAATCGACTCGTTCGATTTATTTATTTTCTGCGCCAGCCAAGCCAGCAAACATACCGGGTTCGCCGTACAAATCGTCGATCCCATGTCGATCCCAGTTACGAGTACTGGTACGTGAAGCCTTCGGATCTCTGCGTGATCTTTGGATCGACCAAGACACATCTTTTGATCAGACAAGATCAAATTCGACATCATCACGCTTGCCCTTCATCTTTCACTAGCATGTCCACCCAACTCAGCAAGGCATACACAGGCGAGGACGTGAATGACCTAAAGTTCGACGTAGAGGCTCCAGAAGAACTTCCTAGTGATGAATTGGAGGATGAAGACGAAGAGCCAGTCAAGAATTCCCGTGGAATGATACTCCATGCAGTAATTGTGTCATCCTTGGCTATGATTGGATTATATGCTCTTACACTGGTCACCTTCGCTGGTACCACGCTGATGACTGCCGCTTTCGTTGCTTTTGGAGTCGGCGGCTGTGTGATGGTGGCGGAAGTTAAATTGAGCAAGATGGACAGTAAGTTCCGTTGGCAAATTCTTCATGATACACACTGTTCAAGCACTCACGGTCATCTCCTTTCCCACTCATTATGATTGCTATTATTATTATAGCATTCAGAACGATTCACAATAGATTGCGAAAGGATGTCAATGTCTTTGCCGGGGAAAACGTGAAGCTCACAAAAGCCAACGATGCGCTGAATTTGCAAGTATTCATGTTGAAGGAGAACGAACAGCGTTTCCAAGCACTAGCCGCAGAACAGAATTCAAATGTCCAAGATCTTGTAAAGCTTGTCAACGAAAATCAAAAGGTTATTGACGAAAAGAAAAAGTGCATCCGTGACGATATTATAGAGTCACTGATCAGCACCGCGTTTGAAGGAGAAAGAAGTCAGGATGGAGAGTTTTCTGACAGGGAAGTCAAGAGACTGGTTACTCGCCTGAAGAATATGCCCGCCGTGAAAATCAATGAAGAGATTCTCTCGCAAGTTTTGGACACAGATCGATCAGTCCTCGCGCTCATTGCGATTATTAGAGATCTGGATGTTGCAGGCGAACAAATTGGCGACACAATCTTTCTCATCGATGAGAACGATCCTGCATTGCTTGAAGACTTGACAGCTCATATGTAGAATGATTCGCTAATACATTTCGTATAGTATTATTATTAGCTACTATGCTGCCGTGCACATGTGCATGCTTTC